TAAATTTAAAAATTTTAACTTTTTATCTTATATTATTATGATATTTTTAATTTTTTATTTAATTTAAAATTTTAAAAATAATATTTTAATATTTTATTAATTAATTGGGTAAATAGGCTGGGTAAGGTTAGGTTGTCTCACTATCTTACCTTTGCCCAAAAGTTATTGGATAAAATTGTTTTACCTTTAGTCGGCCCATGGATGAAAATCCCGGACCCATAACGGGTAAAAATGTAAGTACAAATGAGATGAGGGTAAAATTGTCATCCCAAAAACCGAGTGCTTGCGCAAGGCACAGTTGATCTAAAGGCCAACGCTGGTGGGGTCTTCCAACCCTGACGAGCAAAATCATGGTCGAACACAAAAACTCCTAATAGAGCAAACCTTAGTGACCTTAACCTGAGAGAATTATTAACCTAATGCCAAAACTCACATGGTCTCTCATCCTTGTCGGGCAAAGGACCTAAAGACTAAATAGCCCAAAACCAAACTTAAGGGACTAAATTGAAAACAAAATAAATAGATAGACTAAAATTAAAACCCTACTAAAGATAAGGTTCTAGTAGTCCTGCTATTGTTCCAATAATTAGCTTTTACTTCTAAGTTCTAAACCTCAGCACACAGCCCTACCTTCTTTGATGATGCAATCATGCCACACGTGTCTTGGCCCCATCCTGGCTTCCAAACATAACCCACCATTCCCTCATCCCATTGTCACAAAGTCCCCACCTGAAGGACTGAACCATCCTCATTGCGATTATCACCATGGCACCATTAACTATCCTTAGCCACCGCCAGCAGCCACCGCCAGCAGAGGCCACCAGCCCCTACAATCGGTACCAAGATCTAACCAAACTCTAACCAAACTCTGATGACCCGACATCCTAAGATCCATTTGATGCCCAACCAACACCAACTCAATCCTTTCCTGCTCTTCTTGCATCACCTTCTTCTAGTAGTTTTTGTCTTTATGAGATTGTACCTTTGGAGGGCCAAATGAAATTTTGAAAAAAAAAAAAAATAGACATACATCTTTACATTAATTAAAAAGTCAATGAAAAGAAAAAATTTAATAAAAAATTATTTTAAATTAAGATTTGTTAGTTTTTTATGGATAAACCAATATTAATTGATGATATGATATTATATAATTGACATCAATTGAAAGATAAAATATACATATATTAAATAAAAGAATACTTATAAACAAAAAAAAAAAAGAAAAGAAAAGTATTAATGAACCAAAAAAAGGTATTAATAAACAACTATATATTTTATAAAAAGATAATATTTGACAACTTTATATTCAATTAATCTTTTTTTATTATATTTTATTCGATAAAATGATTTGCAACTGGCAGTGTCAAATTTTAGGCAGAATGACTTATTGAAACAACATCATTTCAAGTTTAGCCCTTGTCCCAAATTTGTTTTTCTCGTCTTCAACTTTCCCCTGTTTTCAAAAATTCGCAAACCCTGAATATGAGCAGGAGGTGTTTCCTTGGCACAAGCAAAAAGTATACAATTGACTAAAAACAAAAATTCTGGAAACAAAAATCCCAGAAACATGCTTCATTTCTTTCTTTCTCTTATTAAAAACCCATAAACAAATACCAATCTTTTTGAATACCCAATTTGAAATTCAAGTAAACTCAAATACCCAGATGAGAAAAAGCAAAAACGAAAAGGCCCAAGGAAATACCCCTACTCATAAGATTATCTTTTATGGACAAAAGATCAAGCAAAAAGTGCCAACCAAGAAAGCTTACTTTTGACGGGGTGAACCTATTCCACAACATTTTGTTTTTTGGTTGTTCTTCCTCTATGATTCCAAGTGGAGATTTGAAGGGGAAACTGAAAAAGAGTGGAATCAAGTGAGGGAAATCAAAGATAAGGAAAATCAAAGAATAAAAGGTGATGTGGTTATTGATGAAGCAGCATAAGTAACAGTAGCTAAAACTGATGAGTGGAAGATCAAAGCATGGAGGCTCACGGAAAAAACCAAAGCAATCTCCACTTAATGAGTTTCCATCATTGGGCAGTGATATGGTTATTGAAGATGAAGAATTCAGAAAAGGAACTCATATTTAGGGGTTTGTGAATTTTTGGAAACAAGGAAGGGTTGAATGGCGAGAAAGGAAACCCTGGGGTTGGGAATAAGTGCTATAACTTGAAACGGTATTGTTTCAATAATTCATTCTGCCTAAAAATTAACACTATCGATTGCAAACCATTTTGCCGTATTTTATTTTATCTTTATTTTACTCTTTTTTTTTTTATAATCACTAAAACTAATCTTTGAAAAAACATGGGTTAAAAATAATTAAAATGTATAGAATGAACAATGATTGAAATAATAAAAATATAACTTAGAGGATCAAAGTTTCTATTTTTTAAAAGTTTGGGGGGGGGGGGGTGGTGCCCCCTCAGGCTCCCCCTGTCTCCGCTGGTGACTTCCTCCATCCACACTTGTTTTTTCTCCTTCGATGATGATGATTGGCTCATCTGTCTTGTCTTTTAGTCCTTGCTCATCTATTTCATCTATAATTTCTCCTAAAGAAGTTTTTGTTGGTGTTAGATTGGCTGCACCCTTTCAAGTGCTTATGGTGGCCTTTTCCTCCTTCAAATCCTAGATTGTTAATATTGTTAAATATATATCAATAAATAAAATTGCTTTGTTCAAAGAGTTATAAGAGTTAGATTAATATAAAATTAATATATATGATCTACATAAATAAAACTTTTAATCCAACTATTGATTTTTGAAAATATTGATTAAAAGGTATATTTTTAGGCAAATTCTCTAAAAAAAAGTGATAGAACTGCTATACACTATTCATATATTTGTAGGGGTAAAAATGATATATGATAATAAATACAGATATAATGAATGACTAAAAAACAATAATATTAAGGGAATAAGCATAATGAGAAAA